AAAGAAAGAAAGAAAGAAAGAAAGAAAGAAAGAAAGAAAGAAAGAAAGAAAGAAAGAAAGAAAGAAAGAAAAAAAAGGAAAAGGGGAAAAAATAGCAAAAACCAACTAAAACATCAATTGAGTCTATTTTATACCCAGGGGCAGCTAGGTGGTATAGTGGATAGAGCACCAGCCCTGGAGTCAGGAGGACTTGAGTTCAAAACTGACCTCAGACACTTATTAGCTGTGTGACCCTGGGCAAGTTACTTATCCCAATTGCCTAAGATACACACACAAACATATGTATAATGTATTTTATACCCATAGTTACCTACCCCTTGAAAAGAAGGGAGGGAGGTAAATTTTCTAATCTCTCCCCTAGATCCAAAACCTTTTGCTCACTATAGTTACACAGTACTTATTACAGTCATTTTTCTCTACAATTAGCATTGTGACTGGCACATAGTAGGTGCTTAATAAATGCTTATTGACTGCTGACCGATTGACAGTCTTTCAAAGATGCCTAATGGTGGCTCAGCAAATAGATCATGGCCTTAGACAATTCAGGCAGGAAGGGTCTAAATACAGCACTTTGGATAAGCTTCTTTGTCAGTAGTAATGGAGCACTTGGAGAAAAAAGTACATTTATAACTAAAGCTAATTTACCTTGTGATGTTTTACTTTCCAGCCTGTAAAATACCTGTAACCAAAGTAAGTATGGTGACCAAGGTGGATGAGACCTTCAACAACCATATGGTTTAATGGAAAGGAGTGTCGTTATTTCTTCACAGTTCGAATATATAGGGCAGCCCTAATTTTAGCCTTTTGGGAAATTTGGCAGAGCATCTTCTCCTCTGATAATATCTGAGGTTCAAAAACAGTTTCAAGTCCTCATGAGAAGTTTCCCCTTTTGGACTGATTAAATTTCAGAGCCTCAGAGCTATTCGCAGGTAGTAAGTAAAACCCCTTCATTCTAACTAATTAAGTTGATTGGGTGAGACCATTTCCCAGAGACAGCTGGAGGACAGAGACAGGTGGGTCCAATTTGAA